GTAGCTAACTACTTTTTCCAGCAAGTAGCGGTGTAGCGTGACCAAAAGCTACATTCTGTTTTGCGTTCTGACGAGTCACGAGCCTGTAATGCACTGAAGCAGCGCAGCGTCTTTCACAAACTACACAAACTAAATTTGTTCATTACCGCCATCTGTTGTAATATTACGCATCTTGTGGCTTTACACCGACAAAACCGACAAAAGATCGTCTTGGTTTTGGTTTTTGCAAAGGATGTACAAAGGATATTTCACATGAATCAACTGTAATTTACACAAAACAAAGATTAAAATGCAGTCTACGTCGAAGACTTAAAGCACATACAGGAGTTGAATAATAGCCTTTTTAAATTGATTAATTTTCTTCTTTATTGCACTCTAGATCAAATTTACAATTTACAATGATGAACGGTCATAATATAATCTGTCCCCCCACAGTTTTGTAATGAACACTAAGAAAATAAAAGCTGATGATTGATGTCTCAGAGCGGCTCCATTCACAGTCAGTAAATACCGCGTGTGCTGTGAGTTTAACCTGCTTATTTTACGACTCCTCCATATCAAGGTTAAGTTGCATATATTTTGTTCTTGCATTGATGTTACGTTTGTAGCAATTTTGCACTTTGACAGTCAGTTTAAGATAATATAACTATATAACTATACAGTATTTAATTATTGTGTATATCGGATAGTTTACAAAATCAAACAATTGGGACACTTTTTGTCATTGAAATGGCTTGGAAAATTGTCCCAATCAACCTGAATTCACCCTATTCTTTGAAATCATGATTGCATTACATTATGTTGTTTTAAACCCCAAATATTTTACTTATAACTTTATTATATTTTACTTATAACTTCATTAATAATTATTTAGTTATTTGTAATGTTAATTGTAAAAAAAAAAAATAATAATAAAAAAATGTAGTAGTTTCAATGTAGCTAGCTACTTTTTGATAGTAACTTGTAGTGTAGCTAGCTACTTTTTCAGAAGGGTAGCTTGAATGTAGCTTAACTACTTTAATTTACAAGTAGCTTGTAGCTGGTCATGTTGCAATGCAATGCATAGACTTTTTCCTCCACTTTATTTCAGGGAAACATGCAATGTTATTTTAAATGAAAGAAATCAAGATCTTCTCTGAGACCCGATATTCTTCAAAATAGCATTTATGTTCAGCAGAAGAAAGAAACTCATTCAGGTTTAAAACAACTTTTGAGTGAGTAAATGACGGTATAAAAATAAAGCACTATGACAGAATTGACAGACAGATGACAGAATTTGTATCTTTGAGTGAACTATTCCTTTAATGTTAATAAAACAACAAAACGCAGAGAAAAATCACTCACTACTCTTGTCTTGACTGAAAAACTTTAATACAGTTGCTTAATAGGAATCAATTTATATAGTGTATTATTCTTGTATTTGTTCATTCAATTTCTTGAATGCTCCTGCTAAATACACCTATTGTACCTGAAAATAGAACACTGTTTGTTTTATTTGTATATTATGTGTAGTTGTAATGTGTATCTTTGTTCTTATTTTTAATAACAAAAATAAAATAATTTTAAAGATTTTTATTTTTGCCCACTTTGGCCTAAATATTCGCCATTTTTTAAAAATATTTTGTTACCTTGAAAGGCTTTGTCTTTATAATAGGGAAATTCACTTGCAAAAACTTGCAAAATAGTAAAACCAACATGACGAATTGTGATAAAACTGTGAATCGTGATATTTCTAAAAAAAAAAAAAACGTGCTATGATATTTTTGCCATATCGCCCACCCCTACTTCGGGGCTTGCCTAATTGGTCAAATACACACAAAAATATGTCAAAATGACCAGTTTGGCGAGTATTCACCTAAGCACTTAGCACAGTCTTAAATGCACATAAACAGTAGGGAGAAATTTGGCTAAGGTGTGTTTGTATTGTTTGTATAGTGGATCCGTGCATTAAGTCTTAAAGTAACAACAGCCTAATAAAAACAAAAGAAAAAGGGGAAAATCACTCACTGCTTTTGACTAAATAATTTTAGTAGCTTTAATAAGCAAAAATCTATCAATTTATACAGTGAAAACTATTCAGTGTTATTTCACATATGATTAACCTTAATCATATTTCACATATAATTACCTTTGGTATTAAAACCAAAGACAAAGTGACTTTTTCAAGAAAAATAACAACACATTTTCAGTGTTTTCTTTCATAAAATTCACTAAAAAAATCCCCATGTTTAAAGAACAAATTCTGTCCCTTCAGCATTTTAAGCAGCAAATGGGGTCTTTAGATTGTTGTTCTCTAATCAAGAATTCAAATAATATTTAATGGTTTTAAAGTGTGTCTAATTTGATCCAAGGATTGTAGGTGGTTGCTGTTTCTTTGGTCAGTGGGTGGGTTAATCTGCTAATACTTTCCAGTTAGTGATACTGAAGGCTGTTTGAATCCAGCGCTGCTGTTACAAAGCAGGAAGCAGCCCGTTTTTGGTAATACAAAAGGTAAATGTCTCATTTAAATCCATGTTTCATGTGTTCATAAGAATGGGGTTTACTGGAAGAGGCTGGAATTGCATGTACATTCCTTTTGGCTGTGTGATAATGATAGAATGGGTACTAATTATTTGGAGAAACTGTAGTTTTGTAGTTGAACAAATTGCATGCAACACATTTATTTGTTGATCATTTCATTAATTTTGCTAATAGAAAAGGTTTGTTTATACTGAGGTGTTTTTGGTGAAAAAAGGAAAGGAAAATGCACACAGACAATAGTTTCTGTATTATGAGACTATTATTCTCTGTATTATTCTCTAATTATTAGACTGAACATCACATCCATTGTATGACAGAATTGCCTGAAGCCTGTAAACTAAGTTGAATAGTAGCTCTGATACACTCAAAAAAAATGCTGGGTTGTTTCAACCCAACTTTGGGTCAAATATGGACCAACCCAACTTTTGGGTTAAAAATTTAAAGTAAAAAATTAACCCAATGGTTGGGTTAGTCCATATTTGACCCAAAGTTGGGTTGAAACATCCCAACATTTTTTAGAGTGTAGGTTTGAAAGTGTACTTAATGCCACTGAAAAACGTTTGCAGTGCTTCTGTAAATTTTAAATATTTACTCAAGTGACTCCTCTTGAAAATATATGTGTATTAATTGCTATCGATTATGATTACAATACATGCTTTTTTTGCTTTTGGTCATCAACAGCTCTGTTAAGGATTATTGCATGGCACCAATAGTTCTTTATTAACATCGATTTGTATTTCATATTGAATAAATTCCAAAAAATACATAAGAATAAGAGGAAACTATGTCCATACTACAAGTGCACCAGTCTCAAAAGTGTTGAAGTGTTCAGTATGATTATTTTTAGATGCAATTACCCGCTACTCATCTTTAATTTGACTGAAGTGCTCGCACAAATGACATTATTTAATTGGTCTGGCACAGCAGGTAAATCAATTATTCTATATCATAACAGCAGAATTCAAATTAAGGGCTCCCACTATATCAAATAACATTTTGTAAAATGAATTAAGCTATATATTTATGTTCAAATCATTTTAAAAAAATCATTTTTTTAAATCTTATAATCAAAATCAGGCAATAGCAGATTTTGGGGTTTTAATTTTTTGTGACTGATAACAATGGTGAACATTTATCTACACAAACAAACATACGACAGTATTCTGCAAATTTTAGCTGTGGGACTTGCCACCTAATGTCCATGTACATCTTTTGAGGGTCACACCAATCAGTGCAGACTGACACCTGGGCCCCAGGGCCCTTTATCGCATCTGTTTGAGGGTTTATCTGATAACATTCTTCAAACACCTGTGAAGTCTGTGAAGCCTCTGGACTGTGGGTCCCTTCATCTCTCTGTTGGAGAGACTGATTCTCAAAGCTGTCAAATAAAGGTCGAAATCAGCCCAAGGACGTGACTCTAACAGAGAAGAGTACACAAGAAGGGCTATCCCTCCTCCTTCTGGAGTCAATTCAGTTCCTAGGGGAGAGTAGCAAAGAGTAATTAAGATAGATTTGCTGCTATCTGTGTTTTAGAACTACAGGACTGCTGAGATTAAGATTTTTTTTTATTATTACGTTCAGCATAGTCGTCTCCTCGCATTCATTTCTAGAGTTTATTAAATAGGACAATGGGAAAATTTTAATCAAACCACAAAAAGATCATTGGCTGGTACTTGGGTTCTTAAGGAACACTGCATTATTAAATACACTGCCACGCTCTAAATTCCAGCCAAATTAAAATGTGAAGACATATTACTTATCTTGAAGGAAAATTACTAGAATTAGTGGCATATCACTCACTCTTTCACATATTGTTGTGTAAAAAATAGATTGAAATTCCACTAACACTAAACTTTAGTACCATAATTTCTTTCTTTCTTTCTTTCTTCTGCTAAATTGTATGAACATTTAAATACAGTTTATTCATTTATTTATTTGACATTTATTTTGTGTAGTATACATTTATTGTCTTTTGTCTTTTTTTTTGTAAACAGCTGCTCAACAATTTGTCTTTTTTTCAGGTGTACAGAGGCAAGTTGTGCACTGTGTGGAGAGAACATCTGGAATCGTCGAGGAACATTACTGTGATCCAGCTACTAGGCCGGATGACAAGCAAAGTAACTGTTATAAGGGGGCATGTCCTGCCATGTGAGTTTTACTGCTGGACAGTCCTATACTTTACACACCCATCAGCAGCAGTGCACTAGATGGCTTTTAAAGGCAATCATCAGTGCAGTAAGAGTGCAGTAAATTCCTGTGATGTTTTTGTGTCATCAGATGGTGGGTTGGAGAGTGGCAGAAGTGCTCATCTAGCTGTGGGGACATTGGGCTTAGCAAGAGAACAGTGCTGTGTATTCGGAGCCTTGGGCTGGATGAGCAACGAGCGCTTCAGCCAGCTGAATGTCAACATTTGCCTAAGCCTGAGTCAATTGTTCGGTGTAACACACATGTGTCCTGTCCTGCTGACTGGACCATTGGAAGCTGGTCAGAGGTGAGCATATAACAGCCACAAGGAACATCTCTTGCAGTTCAAATAGTGACCAGACTATTTACATTTACATTTAGTCATTTAGCAGACGCTTTTATCCAAAGTGACTTACAAATGAGGACAATGGAAGCAAGCAAATTCAACAAAAGAGCAATGATATACAAGTGCTATAACAAGTCTCAGTTAGCTTAACGCAGTGCACATAGCAAGGGATTTTTAAATAATATAATAAATAAAAAGAAAGAAAACAGATAGAATAGAAAAAGAATAGAGCAAGCTAGTGTTAAGACAATGACTATATATGATTATGATTCATAATTTTATAAAGCATACAGAATGTTATGTGAAGAAAGGTTTTAGTGTGCAGCCTTCGCATTTTAGCAGAACTAACAAAACATTAGCATAGTATTATCATAGTTTTCGGACATATAATAACATCAATGTACTATGGCCATGAACATGAAAATCCTTCAGTTCCATGATATATGTCATTGCACCAATGTATTACCTGCTATTATAGTCTGAACAAAAGTAAAATTACCATGTCACTTATGTAAAGTGCATTTTATTTCAGTCTAATAAAAAAATCATGGTTTTTGGTTTAAGCACCTCATATAAAAAATGAAAAGAAACAATTTTGTTTATATAGTATTTTGACTTGATGTGTTGGTGTGCAGAAAACTGAAAAAAATATTATAGGTTTTATTAATTATTCAATTTTCTTTAGTATATAGCAGAAAATGCGCATACCACAACACAGTAAACAATAAAACCCATTTAAAGTTGTATTCATTTATAGTAAGTCAGCTACTTTAAACTTTGACTAACAATGTTTTTAGTTTTATTTTAAATGATCATATCATAGCCAATTAACATAGCTTTTGTTTATGGTGAAATTAAATTGTAAAAAAGCATATATATATATATATAATTAGTGCTGTCAAACGATTAATCGCGATTAATCACATTCAAAATAAATGTTTTTGTGTACATAATATATGTGTCACGGGTGTCTGCTGTGCAGTAGCTAAGGAAGCAGAGACGCAGGAGATTCACGAATCACAGTCTTTAATAATCCAAATAGGGGTAACACAGGGCAGGCAGGAACACACACAGAACACATAGTATAGACAAACACCGAACAAAGGAACGGACAACACTATAAATACAAGACTAAACGAGGGTAGATGATGAGACACACCTGAACCGAATGAACACAATCAACAAGGGAGAAAACTAGGTCACAGAGCACATGGGGAGTAAAACACACACATACTCAAACAGTCCAGGGGTGTGACAATATGTATGTGTGCTGTGTATATTTATTATGTATATATAAATACACACACATGCATGTATATATTTCAGAAAAATATAAACTTTATGTAACATTGAAATATGGAACTGTATTGATTACTGTATTGATTATTGTATGGTCTTTGTATTAAATCAGCTTTATTTTGTATTTTGTTTTTTTTTCTGTCAGAAAATAAATATTTTAGATTAATATTAAATCAAAATCAAGGTTTTAATGAAACCATACATATAATTTGAGCGGGGGGAAAAAATCTAATTACAAATGTTTTAATTTATCCAACGTATTTTTTTCAACATACATGCTATTGTACCACTACAGTACATTATTTGAACAGAGAAAACATTCATCTTCACATTAATTCTGTCAATACTACAAACACTACACATACTTGATGATTATTCCTTGCTTTCTCATAAAACGAACTTCAGATTTTGCTTTATTGGACAACAATATGTAAAACTGTTTTGATGACACATTGTTATACAAAACAGTCTCATTTTATTTTTAAATCATTGTGAGACAATTTTCTGACTTTGACAGCTCTTACGCACTGCTTCTTCCACAGTGTTCAGTGAGCTGTGCAGCTGGTTTCCAGATATGTGACGTGACCTGCAGCTGGAATACTGGTATGGACTGTGATCCGAAAGCCAAGCCTAATTCAACTATGCCATGCTATCTTCAGGACTGCCCCATAAATTCGGACACCTTTGGCAATGACTGGTCAGGAAGTGGAGCATCCAGCAAAGAAGTTTTCAATGAGATAAAAGTTATACCCCACTTTAGTACTACTAAAAAACAGCCCAGGGGCAATGCTGACCTCAATGACATTATAGAAGATGATTTCTCACATTATAGTCATGTTGAAAAGTCCTCTGACAATTCTATTGTGAAAAATCTTCAAGTTGATGATTTTTATTACGACTACAATTTTATAAGATTCCATGAGGATCTGTCGTATGACTTTGATAAAGATGAAAATTATATGTTCGATAACTCAGGAATAAAACATGGAGACATTACTCTGACAGGGACAGATGTCCCTATAACTACCTCATCGCCATCCACCACTGTGGACCAACACAGTACCACCATGCGCTCTGACAGCATTACAATCAAGGGTACTGAAGGTCATGAACCTCAAAAGAAAGACGTACTAGATGAAAATAATGATGAGCTATTTGCTGAGGATTACTTCCTGCCTGTCATTGCAACAACTGAACCATCCTCTGCAGTTACCAGGTTATTTAGCAAATGGAAGGACAATGATAGTGACTTCAGTATTACTAGGAAACCTCCATCAACTGCAGATGTGTCCACTCAGGACAAGCAGACATTGTCATATGAAACTGAGCCAAACATCTTTTTGACTCCTGAACCACATACAAATTCAAACTCAAATAACCAAGACAATTACAAAGGCAATCAAAAAGATAAAACCATAATGGCAATAACTGAAGATGAGAATGAAGAGGAGTTTGGCGAAGATGTTCCTGGAAGTGAAAGTGAAGCACACCATGGCACTCAAAATAATGAACCTCCTTTAGATTATTATGTGTTTAAGTTTGAAACTTATGAGAACAGACATGTTCATATTCCCACTACTTCTTTACAATGGCGTATGGCCTCACCAACAGTCTCACTGAGTGCAACTTCTCAACCATTGGAGCTTCTCAGCAGTGCTTCCAGTGATGACTTTGCAAAATATAAAGTTCTGACGGAACCATCATTTAACACTAAGGAGAGTGAATTCACTGTAAGAGAGTTCACTACGACCTCAGATAGCCTTTCTCAAGGGTATGTTCCTTCTCCAACTTCCTCTGTCCCAGCCAAACATTACAGTAGCATGACCTCAGCAGCTGGAACAACAGCTCTACCTCCTACAGAAATGGAAAGTGATTTTGAGCCCTCACTCTTCACTACAAGTGATATTCCGGACACTACAATTGCTACAGAGATTCAAAGTTGGTATTCCAGAGCCATTGCACCACCCAAAACTAATGGGCCTAAAATAGAGCCTTGGCGAACTCCGGTCCCCTTACCTCGCTGGACAGAGAATGAAAACAATAAGATTATTATTGCCCGAATGCTGAGACCTGCTGGGCTTAATCCCTCTCTGCCTACTCCTACTGAGCAGCCATCTCAGGGCACTAGTAGTGAGCATTCAGTGCATTCTTCTAGCCCTCCGATGCCCACTGGGCTGGTCATGCCTTCTCTTTACCCATTAGCCTCCCCTGCACACTGGAAAAAAGGCAACTGGAGTGCTGTGAGTAGTTAATTATGCATTCCTCACATTCTCTAGATACGAAATCAGCATGGGCTGAGAAACAGCAGTCGGCCACAAAGATAAAAGTCCTTGAATTATGCTGACACCACAGCATTAGATTTCAACAGAAACATAACTTTAACTTTCAGGTAATGAAATTTGTTTCATGTTATTCTAGCAACAAATATGGATATGAGGGATCGCATGGCACCACTATCCATCCTTAAATCTGACTGTGTATGAGTGTGCACACATACAAAAGGTTTTATAACCTGAATATCGAAATTGGGAAATGTTAAGTTTATAAGAATGTTGTTGGAGCCCACAACCTCTAACTTGTAACCTAACTCTAAAATTTGAATAGTTAATGAGAATGTTTATCCAGGAACATGTCCTACTTTAATAAATCTCTTTAAGCAGGGTTTGCATGCATTTTTCAATGTGAACAGTACTTTATCCTGCAAATGATTTTATAGTGCTCAACAAGTTGCGGGCTTGGTGCCATCTGGAGGTCAGTGTCCTGCAGCACTGGTGATGGATCAGACTGTGACTTAGCTACTAGGCCTGTGCCAGCGCGCCGCTGCTACCTTCGTCCCTGCTCTGCATGGAAAGTTGGAGAGTGGAGTAAAGTAAGTCTGCATGCATGCAGCCAAACATAATGAATTAAATTCATTTCCAATTAATGAAAACACAATGGGAGTTGCCACTCCTGATATCTCTTTTGGCAGTGCTCGAAGAATTGTGGTGTAGGAGTGAAGGTCAGAGAGATTCAGTGTTATGACACACGAGATCAAAGGTTGCTGCGGCCATTTCATTGCCAGGCCATCTCCCCCAGACCTCCTGTCCGAATTCCTTGTAACATCCACAACTGTTTAGAGTGGTACACATCTTCTTGGGGGCAGGTAAAGAGATTTAGCATTCAGAAGCTTCACTTTTCTCTCCTCAGCTCATTGTGCCTGTTTTTTTGATCTTCACATTACTCTCTTCATCTCTATGTGTCTGATTCTAACATCATATATGCCCACAGTGTTCAGAGCTGTGTGGAGGTGGGGAGCAGCAGAGGCTGGTCACCTGCCCTGAAACTGGGAAATGTGATGATAACCTAAAGCCCAGCAACATCCAGACTTGCAATGTCCATCCATGCCACCAGTGGATTACTGGATCCTGGGGTCAGGTGAGTGACATAAAACTTGAGGAAATGTTTGATTTGATTTTTTAAGTCAGCCAGCTTAACAATGTGTCTCTGCACTAGATACAAAACGTCTTGGTTACGTATGTAACCCACGTTCCCTGAAGGAGGGAACGGAGACGTTATGTCAGCAGTGACTGATGAATTGGGATCTCACCAGAGAAGCGAGATCTTAGGTACAATGAAGTAAGGGCTGTAAAACCCTGTCTTCATATCAGCTGGAGGGATCGGCTCTATCGCGTCCTTCACCAGTAGGACTGCGATTTCCGCTCGCAAGACGGGAGAATCCTTGTTTGGCACAGAGGTGAACCGAATGCCGCTGAACTTGGGAGGACGCCGGGCGAACTGAATCGCATAGCCGAGTCTGATGGTTCTCATGAGCCAGCGAGACGGTCTGAAAAGCGCTAACCAGGCCCCCAGAAACCGAGCAAGTAGGACTAAGGGAACCACTGATGTACCCGCAGTGGGGCAGCGAGGTGGAGCGCAGGGACCCGACCCGGAAGGCAAAGTGTCCCGGAGTGGGGTCTGAGTGCGTGCTGCGACACTTACCTGGCTCCACGGTTGGGCAGGGTGCGCGTGAGGAGGCACCGTGTCCTCGAGCCGGGCCCTGCTGCCCGCTGGCGAAAGGCGAGGGGGACGGAAGTGTTGAGGCTGTGTCTCGTACACTGCCATCCTTGCCCTCTTGGGACCCAGAGAAATAGGAAACTGCTCTTTTGTTGAATGTTTGGGTACCACTGGCTGGGGAGCCAGTTGCGGAACAAAACAAAAAGGGAACAAAAGATTCTCCACCCGGCCCTCCCCCGGAGGAAGGAGTGGCGCAGTCACCATCTCCTGAAGAGCAGGATCCAGAGTCTCCTGGTCGCCCATCTCAGGGACGCCGCTTGCTCTGGCGCTTTACAGGCCTGGCAGTGGCAGAGCTTTCCTGTCACTCTCCTGCTGCTAGCTCCATGCTGCGGCCGGTGTGAAGGCTGCTGCTGGGGCCGAGCTGGAGCAGAGGTGGAGGCAGCAGAAGGGCACCCTCGGAGACTAGCGGGCGGAGGAGCTGCAGCCGGCAGCGGGGTGTTGACAGCAGCGGGCCGCCGGAGCAGGATGTGCTTAATTGCCTCCTTCTGCTTCTGTGCCTGGGAGATCGGGGAGTCCAGGAAGCTGTGTTTGTCGGACTCCCTCATATCTGACAGGTTTAGCCAAAGGTGGCGTTCCTGGACCACCAAGGTGGACATCGTCTGATCCAGGGACAGTGACTTTTGTCGCCCGTAGGGCGAGGTCCATCGCAGTGCGCAGCTCAGGTCAGAACTACCCCCGTGCAGCTGCTTCAACGGCTTGGCCTGGTAGACTTGCAGGAGGGCCATGGCATGCAGGGCGGAGGTGGCTTGTCCAGCAGCTCTGTAAGCCTTGGCCATTAGAGCGGACGAGAACTTACAAGCTCTGGACGGGAGACGTGGATTACACCGCCAGGCGGCAGCGCTATGCGGGCAAAGCTGCATTGCAATAGCACGCTCGACTGGAGGGATCTCCACATACACCTTAGCCGCCCCGCCGTCGAGGGTAGTGAGGATGGAAGAGGCACTAGCTCTATTTCAGGCAGAAAAAGGTGCCCTCCAAGCATGCCTCTTCATGCACCTCTGGGAAGAATGGAACCGGAGGTGGACGCTGAGGATAAGCGTGCGGCACCCCCAGGAACCAATCATCCAGCCTTGAGCTCTCGGGAGATGGAGAGGTTTTCCATTGCAACCCGATGCTCTAGGTGGCCCGGGAAAGCATGGCAGTCAGCTCTGGATCTGACTCGGGCAACGCCACCTTCCCTGACGGAGGCAACGCAGCCCAGTCTTCATCTCCAGAGCCTAGCTCGTCCCCCGATGCAGTGATCGACATCCTGTCATCTGCCGGGGCTCCGAATGGGATGCTAGGCCTCGCCTCCGGGGGCTCAGCTGCCTCATCACGGAACACCACGACTAGAACGGGGCATAGCAAGGGGGACTCCCCCTTGTTTCATGAAGAGGAGTCTGGATCGCAACATCGCGATGGTCATGTTCCCGCAATGAGAACATGAATCATCCACAAGCGCTGCCTCAGTGTGCTCAAAGCCCAGGCACGAGATTCAGCGATCGTGACCATCAGACGAAGCCAGGAAGTGACTGCATCCAGAAAAACACGAGTGGAAGGCCATCTTTAAAAAGATGCCGCGTCACTCGTGGACCTCTTTTAGAACTTTAATTCTAATAATAGATTTAAGTGCTGAAGCGCCCAGGGGAGGTCACAGCGCGACCGCAGTTTGATGAGCACGCCGTCCAAATCGGGAAAAAAATGCAGCAGCACTGGACCAGCAAACCTCTGCTGACGCGCCATAACACCAACACTCGCAGGAACCATTGTTCTGTAACACTCTCTTCGGTGACTGCTCAAGCAGAAAGGCTCGGCTCCAAAGCGAAAAGCTGAATGTGCGACTGCACACGATCTCCTTATATACCCATGCTGCGGAGCGGGGTGCGTGATGCAAAGCTCGCACGCCAACATTCATTGGCTTGTTTTGTTAACACTCGAAGGTGATTGGGCTCTCTGGCGAGATCCCAATTCGTCAGTCACTGCTGACGTAACGTCGAACGTGACTGACTGAAAGGGAACCTTACATCTAAATGTGTGAATAAAATAACCCATAAAATGAGAATTAGAGGAACATCATGTGCTGGATTCAGCTTAGAATCTCAGAATTGTATTTATAAAACTTAATTTTTAGCATGGTCTTTCATCCTATTTCTGGTAAATAAAACCGTTTTATTGGGGAATACACTGAAAATGGCTTATGTTCTTTTAGATTTCACTGTTATGTTGCTTAAAAAGTACAACTTTATTATTTAACATTATTCCAATTATTCTGAATGGTCATTTTGAAAGTACACCTACATTGTTTTTCAAAGATGAGGACGATTACAACAAATTAAAGTAGTCCATATATTCAGTGTCACTGAAATACTTTGTGTGAAAAACAGACTGTAATTTAAGTAACCTTTCACCCTGCCCTATTAAAATCTGGCTCACACACAAGAACATCTGTTTGGTTATATAAGCACAGCACAGTGAGTAAAATCTGCACCATAAAACTAGAAGGTGGTAGAGAATAAGAAACTGCAGACAAACCTTGTTACGTCTCATGATTTGAATGTATGAAAGTGATTAAATGTGAAAAGATTTGAGATCATGAGAAGACTCTCGCTATCCTTTACAATACCACCCCACACTTTTAGAACCACTGTGCTTCACAACCACTTTCAGTAAATCCCCCACCCACCAGAACTTTGGCCAGTATACTTTACTTGTATTAGATGCAATCAAAACAGCCAACAAAGCATTGGAAAGCAAATATTTCTGAAAATGGCAACATCCCAAATAGTGGAAGAAAATGAAAGAAGATTGATTCATTTGTAATTATCTCTCATTCGGTTTTTCTTTCTACATATTCAAATTTACATTCACATTTAAAGAGATGGGATGGATTATTCACTGTGTGTGTGTGTGTGTGCAGAATGTCAGACCTGAATGTAGGAAGTAGCATAATTGGACAATCAGTGAAGTCAAATCACAGTGTGCTCATATGAACTCGCAATGCTCATCCTGCAATTAAGTTGCTAATGTGGTCTACCCCTTTGGGTACATACTCACAGCATCTGAACCCGCCTTTGATACCGAGAGCCCCTTCTATACACCTTCTTCATACCAGTGCTGTCAAATCATGTGGAAATCATGTTAAATGGACTAGAGTATGAAATTATGTTGTGTAAACCAACTTGCAAAACCTATAATGTGGTTTTCTTATTCCTTCAACAGTGCTTAGTGTTGCTTTTGCAAAATAAGGCTGGTTTGTTAGTAGAATTCCTAACAAATTCCTATGATGAGATATAAAAGTCCTTCAAACCTTGGGTGGACACTGGTCATGTAAAACTGCTTTTGGATTAGGAAACCTGAGCTAACATTGCTGTTTACATGCACCCAAATAATGAATTCATAATCAGACTGATGTCTCAGTTTATACCAAAAAGCCTGTAAATACCCCAATCAATCTGACTGAACTCAATCTGAATGAAATTTTGATCGAATTGAAATCTAATTAAAAGGAAAAAATTAAGCATGTAAAAACTTAAATCCAGCTATTTTCTCATACAGATTCAAAAACATGAATTGATCATGTAAATGGATTTTTCAGAATCTAAAATCAGATTGAGTCAAAGTGGGGGCAAAAAGATAAAATTTTAGATAAATGTTAGGATATGACTCCTTTCAAGACAGTCCTCGGTTGTCAAAGCTTTGCAATAGGTCGTTGATCAGAGTCATACTGGGTGTTCAGGCTTGTCTATTGTGTGTTTGCAGTGTTCGGTGTCCTGTGGAGGAGGTGTTCAGCGCCGACTGGTTAAATGTGTCAACACTAAGGCCGAGCTCGAGGATGAAAATGAGCATGTTGATTGTGATCACGAACCTCGACCAAAGAACACAAAGAAGTGTAACATTCATGACTGTGACAGCGCCACCTCTGGTAAGTGGAGCTTTGCGAGCTAGAGACAATGAATACAAATATAGACAGTTAAAGTGAGATTGCCTTATAAAATTATCATGACATGAGGTTGAATTCAAATGTGAATTAAAGTAAAATTGTAAAGTTACGGACACCATGAAGAGTTTTCAGGGGTTATGCAAGACAGATATTTGGGGCCCCCTTCTTCCAGATGTGTTTCTTTTAACGCTTAATAAGAAATTTAAATAATTTCTTAGTTACCATTTATATTATTTCAAGTAAATTTGTTGTAAAAAAAAATGTTATCACAATTTTTGACCCATGTTATCTTGTATTATAATAAATAAGCTTACACAACAAAATTATAAACCAGTAAATTTTACAATTCTCGATTCCAATTTCAATACCACAGGAAAAACTACTAGCCTAACAAATATAAATAAAGTTCAAATATTATTAAAGACAAGTGAACAGTCAGTAAATAAGAACAAATGAACAAATTACAAGCAATAGCACAAATAAATAAATAGAACAAAGATACAGATATAGTTAAAGATGCTTTGGGTTTTTAGATTTATAGGTGTTCAAGTACAGAAATGAAATAATAAAATGTAAAATAACATTGCATATTCCTCACTGTATAAATGAATATAGATTAATCATATTCAGTCAAGAGCACTGAGTGATTTTCTCTTTTTTATTGGAATAATATTAAAGACACCGACAGCAGCTTGTAAATTAGGGGAGGTCACGTTAAACACAATTCATAGGTCTAAAATGATACACATTTGATTTCTTTCTCAAATGTTTATGTTCATTTAAGACATAACCGACTGTTTTTGAGGATACTTGCCAAGATGGGTATTTTGACATACTTTTGTATTTCACGCTGTCGGGAGTCACTTCAAAGATTATACATCGGTAGTTCTTTGGTCACTCATTGAACATGACAGAAAGTTGCAGAAGTTAGTCAGGGGAGAGGCAGTGGTGTTGTTTTACAGTGTATTACAATGACAACTCTACAAGCTAAACTTAAGGGGTCATAATGTAAATATTTAAAAACTTCATCTCATCCAATTGGTTCAGATCATCTTTAGAGCATGCTGGCAAAAATTATGGAATTCAAGTTGATTAAAATAACGCATGAACGGATTCGATAAGGAGCACGCAAAAATGAACGTGAGGCTATATCTCCACAATAGTTTGGTGTATTGAAACCAAACTTGGTGTTTGTTATAATAATCATGACCTGAAGCTACCTGCACAGTTTTGGCACAGCGCCACCTAGTGGTCAGGAGATATGAAAAATGGCTATGTAACTTCTGAATGTTTTGGCCAAAAATGACAAAACTTGTCTCTTTAGGTTTGGCGCAGCATGGCGAGTCGAACCATTTCCAATCATGTCAGCCATTTTGGGTGTCAGCCATTTTGAATTTTGTCGTAAAATGCTATATTTTATGAACGCATCAGTGAATTGTTACGAAACTCGGTATGTCTTCGGCACCATGTTCTGACAATACTCAAAAAGTGCCACCTTGTGGTCAAAACTTGTAATGAAATTTCCAAAAATGGCAATAACTTTTGTGTTTATTAGCCTATTGTAATGAAACTGGTCTCAATATATTCTTTGGGTCATGCTGAGAACATAGATACCAATTTTGCCACAGTCAGCCGAACTTCCTGTCAGCCGAACTCCTCCTAGACCGTTGGTTAATTTTTCACCAAATTTGACTCAGATCATGTTCAGACCATGCTTGCAAAAAGTTAAGGATTTCATGTCAATATAAAAAACGGTTATTTAACGCATCAACGAATTTTCTGCAGTGATGCCAAACTACATATGAGGCTGTATCTCTGCAAAGCTTTGACATATTGAAACCAGACTTTGCATGTGCCATTGTCACCTCACATTGACCTCGCCACATCACTTTGGTAACAGTGCCACCTATTGATCAAAAGTGATAAACCATTCATTAACCACTAATGATGAAGTTTCCAAAACATGCTAATACAGTAACTTTTGATTACATTAACCTATTTTTTAACTTTTTTTAACTCCTCCTAAGCAGTTTGTCTGATTTTCACCAAATTCGAGTCAGATCATCTTCAGACTGTGCTGACAAAAATATTTTGTGCCCATAGACAAAACTGTTTTTGAATAGTGCCACAACAAAGTTGAGGCATAATGCCCAACTGTATTTGAGGCTCTATCTCTGCAAACCTTTGACATATTGACACCAAACTTTGTGTGTGCCATTGTCACCTCACACAGAAAATAACCACATCGATTTTATAACAGTGCCACCTATTTGTCAAAAGTGATAACTAAAATTAAAATTGAAAATTTTGACTAAAATCATCCTAAAATGGCTTTAATTATTCATTGTTGCAGTTGGTCTGACGCTCCATGCCATACTTAGCTCCTCATTTTGCCTCTGTTGTGCTTGGCCTCTTAATCGCTGCTTGCAGCTATGTTTCACATTGAAATTTGGCCACATTTAAAAAAATATATTGTGAAAATCCATACAAAAAATGGCAAATTGGTCAGGTGTATTTGTCCATTAAAGGGCAAGAAGACACACTTAAATAAATAAATAACCAAAGCTGTGATTTGGGGCCCCCTAGCAGCCTGGGTCCATATGCCTAGCATACTCTGTATCCCTCATAATGGCGCCCCTGACTTCAGGGTGCAATTGTATAATTTTTAATAGTACTTTTATTTTTTCAGTATAAATTCCTTAAAATAGCTAATACTAATTATTTTACATTAATAATCATGTTTAAAGTGGAAATTGTTGAAATTAGTATTAAATGTGTATATTAGTTCAAGTTCCAGTGTGTAATATCCATGCAAATTAGCGAGAACAAACAGAATTGGAAAAATAATAACTTTTGAATAATGACATTTGTTGCAGATGCCACAGAGCTACAGTGTTTCCACTCTTTGAGAAAATAAGCTTATGAATGGTTTAGTTAAACTTGTATTTTAAATTGTTTGTCTATTATTATTGCATATTATTTTTCACTGGGATAGGTGATTTTTAACATTGAAAAAAAGAAAAAAAAAAACATACACTCCATTTTGAGCTGCCATAGCCAAAAGGGATTTTTTTCTTCTATGACTATAGGACAAATCTGTGCACTCAGTATCCTTTGGTAAATATGGTGTGTTTTTTGATTACATTAACCTATTTTTTAACTTTTTTTAACTCCTCCTAAGCAGTTTGTCTGATTTTCACCAAATTCGAGTCAGATCATCTTCAGACTGTGCTGACAAAAATATTTTGTGCCCATAGACAAAACTGTTTTTGAATAGTGCCACAACAAAGTTGAGGCATAATGCCCAACTGTATTTGAGGCTCTATCTCTGCAAACCTTTGACATATTGACACCAAACTTTGTGTGTGCCATTGTCACCTCACAAATAAAACAGATAGAATAGAAAAAGAATAGAGCAAGCTAGTGTTAGAGGCCTTTTTGCTTTTGTTAATTGTATAATGAAAAACTTAAAACAAATAGATCGAATACAAAAAGATTAGAGAAGCAATTGTTAGCTTTTTTTTTTAAAACAAGCAGTTAGTAAATAAATAGAGTGCAAGTCTAAAAGGAGCAAGTTTTTTTATATAAAGAATAGAATTAGAATAGTATGGAACCCCTAAAGGGACATGGTGGTGGAAAAAAAATCAGATTGAGTGAAAATTTGGGGTGGGAGGAAAAAATATTTGTCAGATTTTTTGCGTTCCCTCACAAAACTTTTGCGTTCTCTCGCAAAATTTAATGAAGCTTAATGAAGACGGTGATAAAAAAAAGACCAAATATGCTATAGAACTTATTAAAAATATATTCTGTGTACATGCAAGCAGATGAGCCCATATTGGCGTTTTCTTCCCCATAGAAAACCGCGCTTAACATGGCTTAATATAAGAAGACAGTGATATAAAAAGTTTTATATTTTATTAAAAATATACTACAGGCAATCAACGCAGTAATCCATTAAGCCAGTGGTTCTCAAACCTTTTACAATGGCGTACCCCCTAGGGCATTTAGCCTAACATTCTTCTGAGTTAAATAAAGCAATAAATGATGGCAAAACGAAGTTATACTTGTAGATTCAAAACTAAAATCGCCAGTAGGTGGCGGCAAGTCACTGTCTAATGAGCAAGGCGAAGCATTCATTCATTCAGTAACGAAGCAAATGGTTGTAGTTATGAAAGGGTTATTAATCAGTTCCGATTATCAGTGCTCTCCGAATCATTCAAAGTTGCAGATTCATTCACTAACGAAACAGTGCTGTTGCTTAGAGACGCACACCAGTTCTGTTGCGGATTTCGTCTGAACTATTTCCTTGTAAAATATAACAAACAATATTGACAATATTGTGTTTAAAATGTAGGATACATTTAAAATGTAAAATGTACACTTAATATTGCCTTTTTTGTTTAACTGTTATATAAAATCAATGTCACATTTGCAGTCTTTTGGATATTCAGGGAAAATTGCATTCTCGTAAGTTTCAGAGTGAAATAAGAACGTACCCAGTGGGCAATTGATGTCAAAAAGACGTCAAATTGACATCAAACATTGACGTCAAAAAACAGGTCAAAAACGTAAATCAAATTGACGTCAAAAACTTGACATCAAACATTGACGTCAAAAAACAGGTCAAAAACGCAAATCAAATTGATGTCAAAAACTTGATGTCAATTTGATGTCCACACATGTCCTATTCTAGACCACCAAATTAATGACACAACAGTAAGAAATGTAAGAAATGTTTTATTTATCAAGATACAATTCCAAAATACAAATGTGAACTGGATTATTTATCCCCTGAAGGGACTACAGTCAATGTAAATCAAAGGTTAACTCTGCATGAAAAAAAGGCTTAAATTCATAGATGGATTAACAACATATGGTAGATAAATGATGTAGATATGCTACCAGTCAAAAGTTTTTGAACAGTAAGATTTTTTATGTTTTTTAAAGAATTCTCTTCTGCTTACCAAGCCTGCATTTATTTG